CTATATGACTTGGGGTTAGAATATCTTTGTAACTTTCACTTAATTTGCTCAGAATATCATCTGAATCATTGCAAGGGAGCTACTTTTTCAACCAAATATCAAGGGCTATATATATATATGAACCCCTCCCGCCACCTGGAACCAGTTTTCTCGACCCCAAGGCTCTTTTTTGGACTTCCATAAATGGAGCTCCATGGATGTGGTGTCCTCTACTCCATATCTTTATTCCAAATTCCTGCCTTTATCATATCTATGTAGCCAGAAACAAGTTTTAAGTCACCCTACATTACCAATTGGGGAAAAGGTAAAAATTTTCCTTGTGTAGGCAGATCCTAGTGCAACCAACAGATGTAAAAATTTATAGTCACAAATATGAAGTAGATAACCCACAATACATACTGCCAATTTAAGCAGATAATGGCTCCTATACCAGCTTTGAAGGGATGTATTAGAGATGATAGATAGATTGATAGATCAATAGATTAGATATAGATATATATATATGTATATATATGTTTTTCCTCAGTGAAGCATTCTATATCACCAAAGTTATAATCAAAGAAAAGTGAATTAATTAGATCATAGTTAATATATCAAGATATATTACTGTACTAGCTTTCTGATTGGTCTTCCTGCTTCAAATTTGTTTCCTCTTCATTCCATCAACACAGTTGCCAAAGTGATTTTCCTAAAATATTAATCTGGCAATGTTACTCCCCTACTTATTAAATTATAATGACTCCCTATTGCCTTTTGAATCAAGTACAGACTTCTCTGTTTGTCATTTGAAACCCTAAGCAACCTGGCTCCAACCTTCCTTTCAAAACTTATTAGTGATTATTCCCTTCTTCATGTTCCTCACTAATGACATTCGATCTCCCATTTCCATGTCTTTGTACTGGTTGCCCCCATCCCTGGAATATTCTCCATCCACGAAAAATATTGCTTCTTAATTATGTACGGAAAAGGAGAATTTGGTTATTAAGCCAAAGCTATGGTGAGGATGTTAGCAGAGAAGATTCAGAGTCTGAACCTAGAAAGCTAAAAGAGGTCAAATGACAGATTTCAGAACCTCATCAACTGAGCCTGAATTTGGAAATGACAGGTACAATAGTTGTTACAAAGGAAAAGGTTCAGGTCAGCAGAGGAACAGTTTGGAAGCAGATAATCAGAGAAATCTCCCATGGGATCAAGTATTTTGGTTGAATGCCTAGTGAAGTGTTAGTCTAACTCAGCTTAGCATTAGAAGTATCTGTTTACCACAGAAACTACAATCATCAAGAAACTTTTATAGATGATTCCTGAGACAGAAAGAGGTCAACGAAGTTTTTTAGAGCTGTGAGTTATCCCAAACAGATGGGTTTTCGTCCCTCATGTGTTTCTTTGCCAGAAAAACAAACAAACAAAAAAACCATGTGTTTCTTTCTATGTGTGCTCATGTTTCCCCATACTGAGTGCATTGGTGGGAGAGTATGATCCAATTGTATATATAGATAGATTATGGTAGCACAATGGATAGAGTGCTGGGCCTGGAGTCAGGAAGAACTGAGTTTAAATCCAGCTTCAGACATTTATTAGCTGTATGACTTGGGTAAGTAATTTAACTTCTGTTTGCCTCAGTTTCTCAACTGTAAAATGCATATAATTATTGCATCTACCTCTTAGAGCTGTCACAAGGAATAAAGGTGAGAATATTTATAAAGTGTTTAATACAGTGCCTGGCACAAAGGCTATTATGCTAGCTATTACTGTTTTAAAAAAATGATTTGGCTTTAGTCTATAAGTACTAGTGAGATTATTATTTTGCCTTTTGTTAAGTTAATCACTATGTTTAAAATCTAGTAGTGTCATTATTGTGAATGACTGGTTTTGGGTAAATAGAAGCATATCTGTGGGGACTTGAAAGCTACAATACTGAGAAGGGAGAGTGTATTCCTCTCCTCTCCAACAGGGAACTTTGAGAAGCCTAGGACTCTGAAAGAATTTTGAATGTAACCTCATGGTGGTAATCATTCTCTGGGAATTTAGACCAGTCAGCATGAGGACAGGATGGAGTAAGTGAGTCAGCCCAGGAGTGAGGTGTCCACATGTCCTGTGTGAGAGCTTTAATGTGCTGTAGTGTGAGGGGCCACCCATCTGCCTATTATTAAATGAATGAATATTTGTTAATTGATTGATAGGCTTAAAATTGAGTATACCCTCAGAACCTGTAGATGAGATCAAAGAAATGTTTCCATCTGAATCCATCTTCATCAAGAATATGACCAGACCACAACCTAGGTCTTCTTATTCCCAGATCAGTGTTACTGGGTGAACTGATAAAACTTCTAGGACCAGTGGTGATCTGATCACATTCAGACGTTCTAGAAGCCTAGACTGGAACAGCCCTAGACTCTCTTATCTTACTTATCTTAATTGTAGTACTTAATAAATAAGTACTGAGCTGAGGAGTATTAGCCCTAAGAAGGGTGGTAAAATGGACAGAGTGCCATACCTGGAGTCAGGAAGACTCATCTTCCCCAGTTCAAATCTGGCCTCGGACACTTACTAGCTGTGTGACCTTGGGGCAAATCACTTAACCCTGTTTGCCTCAGTTTCCTCATCTGTAAAGTGAGCTGGAGAAGGAAATGGCAAACCATTCCAGTACCTCTGCCAAGAAAACCCTAAATGGGGTCACAGAGAGTCAGACATAACTGAAAAATGACCAAAGCAACAGCCCTGGAAAAGATCTACTGTATAAAAACTATGTTTCACCAGAGTAGTATGCCTGATAGCAGTGTACTGGGACAAGTAGTCTCAGTGGGCTATCTGGTGTTAAGAGGGTGCTTCAACTGCTGAAGAGAGACTGTTCTGTTTAAATTATTAAGGATGATTGTGAGTCCTAACCTAAAAGCTAATAGGGTCTGGATCGCTCGGTTCCCTTGCCTTTAGAAGTACAAAAGTGGTCATTTCTACCCAGAGTTGTGTTATCACCTTGGGATAGGAGCAGCAGTGAGGGAAATAGGAGAATCACACTCTACTAGACGGACAGAGAGCTTTGTAATATAGAAGCCAGACCAACAAGAATGTGAGGGGAGTGGTGTGGAGTTTACAAGCTGTCAACAATTGTAAATGGATGATGTAGATTTTCCTGCCTCTTCTCTGTGGTAGACCCCAGTACAGGAACATCACCTGGGGCTTTCGTTTCTGTGGTCAAGGCTAGAGTCAGGAAATACTGGAATTATTTGATGTTTTAGAAAATTCCTAGGGAATAAGGGGAATAAAATTGGGCATAGTTAGGTGGCATTGTGAATAGAGCTCTTGCAGTTAAGAACTGAATTCAAATTCTGTTTGAAATTTACTTGCTTTACTTGGTGTGACCCTGGGCAAGTCACGTTGATTTCCTAAATCTCAGTTTCTTCATCTGTAAAACGGAGATAATAATAGCTATAGCACTTACCTCACAGGACTACTGTGAGTATCAAATGAGCTTTGCAAACTTTTAAACACTATATACACTAGTGTTATTATTTTTACAATTGTAGTTACAATACCAACATTGTTCCTAGTGTCTCTTGGGTCAGTCTGCCTCTTCTATTCAGGCATCACGGTGTGAGGCTATTTGCAACGAGATTTCTAGGGTTGAATTTGGAGGAAAGGGTCAGGATTTCTGATTTCTACACCAAGGCACTAGGGGTAAGGTTAGAGTTGGGGACATTCTTGCCCCCCTCCCCCTTCCAACAATGCAGTTCAATAGTCAAATGACTGAATGTCTTCTGGGGCTAGTCTGGCAGACCCAAAGGAAATATTGCAATTGAAAAGTAGCCACAATGAAAAAGGGATCATGAGTTTCTGGAGGATATGTTGGCCAGTTCTGACCTCTTGGCTTCAGACTTTGCACAAGGCTGTTCCAGACTGGGAAGGTTACTTTGCTCAGTTAAATGGGATTGTTACATAAACAAGCAAGGCATTGGTTTGGTGCATACAAAGTCAAAATTTCCATCTGAATTTTAGTTAGTAGGAATGTTAAGGCCTCTTGAGCCTCAGGATTTATGAAACTCCAGGTTTTTGCAGCTGTGTTTTCCCTATGTGTACCAAATGCTGTAGTTAAAGTCTTAAGGAATTATGCAAAACACAGTTGTACGGCTAGAGTTTAATCAGTTTAGAATCTCCCATCCAACAGTATTTTTCTCTGGTTCTCCCTTTTCTTCCTTATTTCTGGTGGGCACAAGGAGAAAGGACTGGAAAATGACCGGGATAGGGAGAGACAGGAGACAGAGGGAAGGGAATCTCCAACCTGGCTAGGACTAAGTTCAGTAGTTATGCTTTTTCTTAAAATAAACAAGTAAATTAAATGCAAAAAAAAAATGCTAACGTGGCATTGCCATATGCACATTTATTACACTCAAAAGTGTACATTTATTTAGACACGTAACAATTACATTGCATGTACGAGACAGGTCATAGCCTCCTCACAGCCCTCAGAAATACTACACCCTATAGGCACTGTGCATTTCCTGATGTGTATTAAAAAAAAAAAAAAGACAACTGCAATGTCAAGCCTGAAACGTACCCTGCATATGTGTATTTCTGTATCCGCCCTCGGACTCTTTACGTAGGATTTTAGCTTAGTATAAATGCCAAGAAAGGGTTCTGGGATCTACTTTACTCCAAAAGCTCACCCAAACCTTGCTGTTCTAAAATTTAAAACATTTTCAAAAAGTTAAGAGTCAAGCCTTTATCAGTGGTGGAAAATGGATCGTATATCTTTAACCCGCAGAGGTTGAAAGGGTTTTTTTTTTTTTTTTGGTTAGCTAACAATGGAAACTTTTTTTTTAAGTGTTTCCCTCCCGGTCCTGCCAAGCAATAGAAAAAAAAAAAAAAAAAGAAAAGAAAAGAAACTTGTTCCGCTGAGTTCAACCCCAGACAGGCTCACAACTTCCTTCCTGCTTTCCTCCCCCTTGGTCCCCCCGCCTTACTCCCTCCACCCTCCCCAACCTTTTTTTTTTTTTAATCGCACATTGAACAAACACATCCAAGTGACTGCCAAGCTGAAACTGACAAGGGGTTATCTCTACTTGGGAGAAAGGGGCGCGGGGCTCTCCAGGAGCAGCAGCCTCCCTACAGTTCTTGCTCGCTTTGCACAGCACTCGGGAGGCTTTTTTCTCTGTGTCCCCCTCGCCCTCCCTTTTTTTTTTTTTTTTTTTTTTTTTGGTGTGTCTCTCAGATCTTGATCTGGATGAGGAAACGGTTTTTGGGAACATTTTCTCTTTAAAAAACCATCTCTGCCCGGTGGGGCTTAGCGTCCTAGAGGTGATGTAGTCTGAAGAGGACCAAGCAGTCTAAGAAATATCCCAGGTAAGGGCTGGAGGCTTTTAAATCTCTCTTTTCTTGTCTCTTCCCGCGGTTCCTTCCCTGCGCAGCTCCAACTGCCTGCTAAGTGGATCTGGGTGTTTCAGGTGGTGGGGGGAAGGGGCCTGGTGGGATCATTTAGCTTTGGAGAGTAGAGTATTTGCAAGAGAAGCGGGTGGTGGGGAGCCCCAGAAAAGAGACTCAAGTTTCAGTGTGTTCTCCAGCTTGCCTTCCGGGCTGCTCAGTCCGCACTCCTCAGTCCGCACTCCTCTTTCTCTCTGGCTGTACCGACAGAAAGCCCTCGGGTTTCCCCCTTGCCTGGGCTGGCGCCAGCGACGGGGACACCCCGATTGCTCCGGGGAGAGGCGGTGCAGGATTTGCAAATCAGGCAACCGGGGATGCAAGTCGGGAACTGGAACCGGCACCTCCACTTCCACCTCCTGCTGTTAGCTCTTAGCTCTCTGGGTTCATGCACTATCTGGCCGGGAAGGTTTGCTGAGGCTAAGCTCCAAGGGGGCTTGGGAAGTTTCTCAGAGTCCCCCTGTTGCAACCCGGAGGAAGGTACCTCGGCTGTCAAAGCCCAGACTCCGCCTTGGCGTTATTGCATCCGTGAATGGGGAGTTTCAATAAAGTGGGACGCCCGCGCTCTGGTGCACCACAGAGGCAATCTCCTCCTCCTCCCCCTGGGTGCACGGGGACGGAGATCCACACTTACTAACACACACACGTGCACACCCCTCCAACGGGAGTGGGAGGCAAAACAGTGGAGCCTAGCGAGGGGGTAGCCAAAGAGTCAGTGCCTTGGGCCCGCGCGTTCTAACACTCAAAATTTACGAGTTCAGTCAAAGGAAGCAAGGTCAGTACAAAGAGGTGCATGTAGAAACACACGAAAAGTTTGTTGTGTTTGTATGTTTACTTTGGACCCCAATGCTGACGGAGGATGGACAACTCTTTAGGCCGGATGAGGGTGTTATGTGGTAGGGGTTATGTGACAGGAGCCTTGGTTCAAGATACCATGACATTGTAGGCATGAGAAGACAGCCGAGGGAACCCGCTGAGACAGATTCATTGGAAAATCAAATTGAAACCAGAACCACACCGAGGCCCTTATTTAGAAGCCCAGAGCACGAAGAGAAACTCAGGGGGTAGATGTTCAATCCAGTTTTCCAGGATGGCTGGATGGGGTTGGGGGTTGGATCTGGAAGGAGAGAGTATGAAAAATCTAGGGACTTTTGCAGCCTGGTAGTGGTGAGGTCGAACTAATCAAATACACAAACAGATGCTCCCTGAGTGTAAGGCATTCCATACTCGCGAGAACGTATGGATGAGACCATGTAAAGGATGCGTGCACATAAGACCCAGAAAGGAGGGCACCCAGCACCTCAGGAGGGAAAATTTACTGAAACGACACATACCAAACACAAGCCTAGTAAGTCTGGAGAGGAATTAGAATTTGTGGTTGGAACAAACCTCAAAGATCATCAGAGTTTTGGGAATGCACACAAAAAGAACACACCCCTGTCTCTCTCTCTCTCTCTCTCTCTCTTTTTCTAGGTACATAGTTTAAGGTAACAGTAGGAAGCGTCCTCGTGTCCTCACAAAGCCAACCACAGGATCTCTCTAGATGAGACTTGCGGGTTGCCCCCCCCCCATTCCTCTACAGGTGTAGATGACCTGAGCTTCCCCTGGGCTCTGCCCTCAGGTTAGAGCTGGGTCCTCCTGCCTCTATACTTTCCCCTTACTCATGTCTTTTCTTCTCGCCCAGTTTCTCTCTTCTTCTCCCTTGCTGGGGTCCTAACTTTTCTGCCTCTCTGCCTCCACAGCGGATCGGGTTGTTTATGGAGCTTTGGGCTGGGGCCAAGCCCGCTGCCCTGCCCCCATCCTGTTGCCGAGGCAATGGTGCCCCGGCTCCGCCGAGGACAGCAGCCGCCGGGCCTCGGGGGCTGACCCTGGAGGAGAAGGAGGAGGAGGGGACAGCAGTGGTGGAGTCAGAGCTGGAGCAGCAGCAGGGCTTGGAAGCGCGGCCGGACCCAGTACTATGGCTGTGTATTGCTATGCGCTGAACAGCCTGGTGATGATGAATAGTAGCAATAATGTGGAGAGCGGCAGCGGTGGCTGCAGCGGCAGCAGCAAGGCGCCCCCGCCCCCTGGGAGACCCGGGCTGCCCAGCGTCTTCAGCCCGGGGAGAGGCACCTCCTTCCTCTTTCCACCAGCCGATCGGCTGTTGCCCGAAGAGTCCGGGAGCCGCGGGAGTTGGCGAGGCGGCGGCAGCAGCAGCAGCAGCAGCAGCTGCAGCAGCAGCAACAGTAGCAGCAGCAGCAGACGGAGGTTGAACAGTAGTAGCAGCAGCGTGGGCAGCCCGAGTTGGGCATCCCGTCTGGGAGGGGAGGGGCAGCAGGTGGTGTCCCCGGGCAGCCTCTCCCCAGCTGGGCCGGAGGAGGCCAAGAAGAAGCTGAGGATTTTGGAGCGGGAGCTTCAGAACGTGCAGGTGAACCAGAAAGTGGGCATGTTCGAGGCGCACATCCAGGCGCAGAGCTCCGCCAGAGAAGCGTCCCGGAGCCCCAGGCTGGGCAGGGCTCGCTCGCCCTCTCCTTGCCCGTCTCGCAGCAGCAGCCAGCCCCCCAGCAGGGTCCTCACGGAGTACACCCGGATCGAGGAGAGGAGGACAAAATCCTGGGGAGAACAATGCTTGGAGACCCCAGGAGAGATAGAGAGCAAGGGGGGCCAGTCCCGAGAAACTAGAGGCTCTCCTTTCCCCCTGGAGACAGAGAGGAGGGAGCTTACCCTCGGGGCGTTGGGTCAGGGCACTCCCGTGGAGCCTGGGAACTGGAGCCTGACACGTGGGGTACAGGGTTCCTCATCTGGGGTAGAGATGGAGAAGGGGTCCCCTACAGAGCGAGTCTGTGGCTCATTCACGGCTAAGGAGGTCCACAAGGGAGGCCATCCTTTCCCTGGAGAGCAGGGCTGCGAGACCCTTGTAAGCTCAGCGGGAGCAAAGCTCTCCAGAGAAGCCGGCTCAGCCGGGGCTAAAGAAGTAGAAAGGAGGAGCTCCACAGGTCGGGAGCCCCTATATAAGGTTCTCTCCCAAGAGACCCCTGCTTGGATGGAGAGAGGTTTTGTTTCCTTTGGTGTGAATGCCCAAGAGAACCAAGTGCACAGAGAGGGGGGAGCCAGGTGCAGCGGGACACCTGTGGCTCAAGAGAAGGGCAGGATCCGTGGCTCGAAGGCTCTTGAGAAGTTGGAGAAAGGAAACCTGCCTGGCGGAGTGCAGGGATCCATTGCTCCTGTGGAGAGTGAGAGCAGGACCACCCTGTCTTTGGATATGCAAAGCTCTGAGGCCGGGTGCTGCCCCGGGACATCCACAGAGCACAGCGCAGCAGCCCCAGTGGAGCCCCAAAAGAAGGGGTCCCTGGTAGTTTTAATGCAGAGGCCAGACTCTGAGCAAGGGGAGAAAACAGGGATCAAATCACTTGGAATTTCAGGCAGGGCTGTGCATCTGGGGAAGGTGGAGGTGGAGCCGGAGTCCAGAATTCTTCGTGGCTACAGTCAAGACACTTTGCCTTGCAGGGATGCAGTGGAAAAGGAGGAAGGGTATCAGTGTCCTCCCAAGAGCAGTTTTGGTGTGCAGTTCAAAAGCTTGGTGACTTGGCCTGGCCCAATGGAGGAGGCTGGCACAATCTGGACAGACCCTGGTCAAGTGATACACTCAGATGGGACTTCAGAGAGGAAGCAGCCACAGGAACAGCAAGAGCACCATCAGGGTAAAGAGCTGACTCCTGAATCTGAGAGGAAACCTTCCCTGAGGGAGGCTGGCTGTCCCAGCAACATCCCAGCAGTCATTATCACAGATATGGGCGCCCTGGAGGATGCGGCCTTAGAAGAAGCTCAGGGAAGCCCTCGAGGGATCATGCCTTTGAGAAAGCTGTCTTCCTCCTCTGCGTCTTCCACTGGTTTCTCCTCATCCTATGATGATTCAGAGGAGGACATTTCCAGTGATCCAGAGCGCTCTTTGGACCCGAACTCAGCTTTCCTTCATACGCTGGATCAGCAGAAACCTAGAGTGGTAAGTTTTAAAGGCAATGATTTTCCACTGCTCCGAATTTCTTGAGCCCAAGCTTTTTATGGCTGTCCTTGTACCCCAGTTTCCTTTCTTGTTTATCGAACTTATGAAATTTTAGGTGAGTTCTCCTAGTAGTCATTACTAGCATTACTTTCAAGTTTTGTTTCCCGGGGTGTCCCAGAGATAATCTTCTGGGTCTAATATACCCTTACATGGCTAAAAGATAATCAATCGACTGATGTTGTCATTTGTCTGCAAATATGCATATATAAAAAGTATATTGTACACAAGATGTACATGATATATATGTGTATTTGCATGAAAATGTATATGTGTTTATATATGTTTGCATTGATAAACATTGTTTTTATGTACATATATTTGTGTTGTATTTTATATGCATAATGCATATTATATATAATATATACTACACATTCATATTATATTATATGCATTACACTTATATGTGATCACAATGCACACATGTATGTCGAATATATATGTGTGTGTGTACATTGGAATCGTGCATAGGTCATGACATATTTCCTAGGAAAGCATGCTACTCATGAGCTGTCACTGCAGACAGGCTGATTTATCCTCAGAGAGAGAGTCAGGGTGCATTGGAGGTAAATTTTACCTGATTAGGCAGAATATCATCTGAATCTGTGATTCATTTAGGTGGAGAGAAACTTAGATGCATTTCATTTTCTTAACTTGGCTTCTGCTGATACTCTAAAGAAGCAGATGGCCTTGATACTGAGGCAGGGCCTGTAAAAACCTAGGAAATGTATTCTGAACTAATCCATATTGAGGATATGGCCACTTTTAAGTTTTTCCTTTTGCAAATGGAACCTTAGTAAGTTTGGATGAAACACCCTTCCCTATCATCAGGGCAGGAGGCTATGGAGCAGTTTGAGCTATGAAGGCAAGTGAAAATCATGGTCTGCGAGAAGCAGGAGGTTTCATTCTTTCATTAAGGCTCATTTTTCAGTAACTAGAGAGCCTGTATTAGGCTTCTTTGCCTGAAGTAAGAGACATAGAGAGGCTGCTGTCCAGGAATAGATGGCTTTTGGTCCACTGGTGTTACTTTAAGATAATTTTTCACGTTCATGTCTTTTGATTCATTTCCCAGACATCTTATGCTGGTGGTGTCAGTGGACGTACGTTTTATTTTTGTGGCATGGTTAATCTCAGCCCTACCCTGCTTTCACTCTTGGTAATAGCAAAATGTCTTGCAGAAGACGTAAGAGGGCAAGTTAGTACTTCAGAGAATGTCTGGACTTTTTCTTAGCTCTTCCAAAGAGTGTGAGGAGGTTTATGGCTGGATCTGATAGTTTAGGAAGGGGCTACTGCCTTTCTTTGGTGTGCAGGATGAGAATAGAATAATTAGAATCTTTCTGTGCCCTCTGCTTAGATTTGCAGACCTGTAGGCTTTCATCCTGAAAGCCCAGTGTTACTCAGTTTAACTGGCACCTTTCAACAGAGGCTCTGGGAGCTCTGTATTTCTCTCTTCCACCTCATTGCAACACTCTGGATAGATTACTATGGCCTTCTCTGCTCCTTACCTCCCACTCCCCTTCCACCTGAGAAAAATCACGAACTAGAACTTTCACAGATCAGGCATTTGTCCTCACAGAATTCATGTTTCTGTTTCCAGTGTGGAGGCAAATATATATGCAAAATTTCACCCTGAATCAGACTGGCATTTTGTGGAAAGAAAAGGGCCCTGAGCAAGGTGCACCTGCAGTTGGTGCTGTTAATGCCAACCTTGCGGGAAGGTTGCTACACCTGAATGGGAGGAGGTGAAGAGTGGTGGAAAATGCTTCTCACCAAAGGTGTGGTCCAGATTTCTGTATCTTCCACTCGGCAATCAGAGACTTAGTAAACAGGAGGCGGCCTCCTCTTCCTTTCTCAAGGTTTATTGTCAAGCCATTTGGCTGCCTGACATTGCTTTAATTTGTTGTCCCCCTTCCACCGTCTCCTCTGTGAGGGTGGCTGGAGTTTTGAATGCACTTTGTATACTCGGATGACGCATTTTTCATAATCGATAACTTTTATGTATGCCTTTTTAAACATCAGGGTCATTTCCCAAGATAACACCCCCATTGAGTCTTCCCTTTTAACAAAGCCAAATTTTTGCCTGTAATAGAAGTTATATAGCACTTTTTAAAAAAGATTTGAAAAATATACATATTATCTCATTTGATCTTTACAACAACTCTGGGAAGTGGGTGCAGTTATTGCCCCCATTTCACAGATGAGGAAACTGAGGCACAGAGAGGTTAAAGGGTCATGCAGCTAAAGCAGGTCTTCCTAAGTCTAAGTCTGCCATGCCAACTAGCTGCCTAACCAGTCTAGTTTGATGATATGTAAAATATTCTCTGCCATAAGGGGCAAGATAGGTTTTCTCCTCTTTTTTCTGGTACCAACCCTGGTCAATGTAATTAGTAGTGTCAGTATTTTTAAAGAGACATTATCAGGAGTCAGGGTAAAGAGATTTTCAAATACAATAGGTTCAGATATTTTTAAAAATTTATTATCCAAAGGGTAGAAAACTGAGGAACCTAAGATTACCTTGCACAAATCAGCTAATTGGACCAAGAGTAGGAATCAGGCCTATCTGGCTGTCTGTGATTCTTACACAATCTAGATCTCCACCTCTGAACATGTTTTGAGATGTTTGTAGTATTTAAACACCCACAGGATTGAAAGAGAAAGAAGCTTCCCCCTCTGCCCCTTCCCCGCAGCTCCGCATACATTGAGACATGTGAGACAGATGTATTTTTTTCTTGGAGGGGGGAGGAGGTAACCAGCTGGAAATTAAGGGATCCTAGGGACATCAGAGCCTTGGACTGTGTTCTTGTACAGTAAGCTAAAGTTTTTTTTCATTGGCTACAGGCTATTATCTCAAAACTATTGTCTACATGACACCAAAAGATCTGATCATTTCAGCTCCATGTCCATCATGGATGTTGATTTGCATGCTACCAAGTGGTTCCTATATCATATAGTATATCATGGTCCATAAGAGGTCTTAAGTCTCCCTTATGTCTTTATCCTACTCAAGCCTCTGGATTATGCTGCTGTCATTTTTATATTACAACTTCCTTCCCCTCTCCTCAGTGTCAACCCCCCCCAAAAGAAGAAGCTTGGACATTGAGGATAGAAACCTCATTCAGAGCTCCTTCTTCCAAGATATTTGTTGGAGAGCTGTGTCCAAATCTATTTTGAAAATTAGAGATTAACTTAAAGCTATGTTTATAATTGGAAACTTTCCTTAATTTAATTCAACAAATATGATCAAGTATGTACTATATTCAGAACTCTTTGCTATGTTCTGAGAAAGATACAAAGTTTAGATAAGACATAGTCCCTTCCTTTGTGAAGCCATCCATCAGTATAGTACAACATAAAACATAAATCCAAATCATTTAGTCACCCAGTATTTATTAAGCACCTACTATGTGCCAGACACTATGCTAGCTATAGGGGCTATAGATGGCAAAATGAAAAAAATTCTTTCAAGGAGTTTATTCTGTCAATAACCACTATTTAATATTATATAATAAGTGTGTTAGAGAGTTACAAGTATTATGAGGGATCTGAGGGGGAAGATCATTAACAAAAAGGGAGATCAGGTAAGGCATCATGGGGGTGTCATTTGAGTTGAGCTTCAAAGGATGAATAGGAGGAATTTAGCAAGGAAATTCAGAAGGGGAGGAGGATGTAGCAGGCATAGAGAGATCAATGCTATGGAGATAGACAGGAGAGACAGGGCATGTTTGTGGGGCTGTGGGGATGGGGAAGGAAGTATTGGTAAGGAATCGGAAAGGAGTCTCCTATGGCAAGAGCATAGTTATTGTTGGTGTTTGTCCTTCCTTGTTGAAGAGGACCATGACATCAGGAAGGTGATGCTATGACTTGAAAGTGAATTGGATGTAAGTGAGGGAGGGCTGTGCAAAGTCACCAGCCTCATTCTCTCAATCTGGGTCCAGTGGCAAGATACAGTTCAGGATGACTGGAGATGGCCCCCTGCAAGAGCATGGAATATGTTAAGGTAGTAACAAGTGATATGTAGGGTGGCACCATGTTGTGGGGGACCTTCAGAGAAAGGTATATGAGTGTCAACTTTCCTTGGCAAGATTAAGAACTATTGAAGAATTGAGAGCAGAAAAATGGTTCTTGGAGCAATGTGGAGAATGAGTTGAATGAAGAGAGTGGAGGTGGGAAGATCTGAGGTGAGTGGTAATGGGGGCCTATTTTTAGTGTAGTTGCAATGGGAATAGAGAGGAAAGCATAGATGTGAAAGATTGCGGTGGGGATTGAATCAACAGGTCTCATTAACTGAGAGGTTATTGGAGGTTACAGGAGAAGAAGGACTCAGATAACCTTGAGTTTACAAATCTGGGTAGTAGTGCTACAGACAGGAATACTGATGCCAAAAGGAGGAGCAGGTTTAGCTGTGAAGATAATACTCCCAGGTTTTTGACATGTTAAATTTGAAGAGCCTGTGAATTGAAAAGAAAATGGGACTGGAGTCCTTCTGATACTTTGGCATGTGATGTAGAACTAGCATTAAAATGTGACTTACAAATATTGTAGCACTTTATATTTTATTTTATTTTATTTGTTTTTTAAATTAATTTATTTTGAATTATCAACAATCACTTCCATTAGCTTTTGAGTTTTAAATTTTTCTCCCTCTCCCTCTCCACCTCCCTCCCCAAGATGGCACTTAATCTGATATGGGCTATACATATACATTCTTATTAAACATATTTTCACATTAGTGATGTTGTAAGTAAGAATTAGAACCAGTAGGAGCAACCACCAGAAAGAGGAAACAAAACACAACAGAAGAAAAAAAATAGCAAATAGTATGCTTCGATCTACATTCAAACTCCATAATTCTTTCTTTGGATGTGGATAGAATTTTCCATCAGGAGGTCTTTGGAGATGTCTTAGATCCTTGTATTGCTGAGAAGGGTTAAGTCTATCAATAT